ACTGGCACGTCTGCCATTAGATAGGAGCTTCGTGCTCAACTTAGTTATCAATCTTATCATATTAGTTTGACATCTTTGATACAAGTAACGAGTTCACTTCCAAGTGAACAACCCGATAGTCTTCTTCTTATCATAGCATACCAACCAGCGAACACCCAGCCAAGTTTAGTTAGCCAGTTTGAGTATTCGTTACATAGTGGGAGCACGGAAGTCCATAACACTAGAGACCGGGGGTCTCTAGTGTTATAGATCACCATACTTTTAGTAGGAACATCAAAATTTTATAAATTTTTAAAACTCTTAAAAACTCGCTAGGATATATATTATAATTGTGACGACACGTGCGATATGTTGCCCGTGGGCGTCCAAGGTGTAGGTTATGGAATCGTAGAACTGTCTTATTCGAAGATTCCAAGCTGAAGAGAAGAGGAGAGCTCGAGGGAGCTCGAGTCTACATACATGGTGTGGGTCGCTAAGTGGCGCCACGTGATACAAGTGGCACGTGATGGTCAGAACCGTCACAATAATATAATCTATATTTCCTAAATTATATATATCCTCTAGATCTACTTTACGTAATCTATTCGCCTTTATCTTCCGAGAATAATACCCTCTAAAATAAGCGAATCCCCCTAGGCGAACCTATTATAAAAGTCTATACTATTACTATTACGACTCTACTAAAGATCTTTTAAAACTATAAGAAGAAAGAGTTTACTAATTATACTATATCCTTTATATAAGATAAAATAACGGGTAAATACTACGAGACTTATATTACTACCCTTAAAAAAACGTTTAAGAAAGTAGCTACTCCTCGGAGATATGTCACGAATCACGTGTTAGCAGGTGACGAGTGAAGACCAGGCGGCGTCCTGACAGGTTAAGCATTATCACGAACTCTTATAGCGAATAGGGATGCTTAGGCTATCTAAGCTATCCAAGGATTTCTTTTGGTTACTGTCACTTGATCGACTGGCATCAGAGGTGGTCGGCCTGACGACCTCTGAGGAATCAGAAAGGATCAGAGCGACGGGCACTGATTTAGGAGAACGAAGGTTCTACATAAGACTGGCACGTCCGCCATTAGATAGGAGCTTCGTGCTCAACTTTGCTATCAATCTTATCATATTAGTTTGACATCTTTGATACAAGTAACGAGTTCACTTCCAAGTGAACAACCCGATAGTCTTCTTCTTATCATAGCATACCAACCAGCGAACACCCAGCCAAGTTTAGTTAGCCAGTTTGAGTATTCATTACACTAAAGTACTAGAGAAGTAAGTATAAAAATAAAAGAATACCCTCTTATAATAGAATCGAATATACTTGTAACGAATACTCAAACTGGCTAACTAAACTTGGCTGGGTGTTCGCTGGTTGGTATGCTATGATAAGAAGAA